ACGGCAGTCTCGGCTAGGAGGGCGCTTCTTGCAGGAAGGGGTGGGATCTGCCCGCCTGCCGCGCGGTGGCCTGCCCCCGACTTATTCTGGGGTCTCTGCTGCGAGGCCTCCCAGCAAGAGCTGAGCTCCCCGGGCCTCCGCTTCTACCACCCCTCGGGGCCCCTCATAGTTACCGGGGGCTAGAGCCGAGTGTGGACGGTCAAACCGCTTCTTTCCAAAGCCTTTGTGGATGCGTTTGCCTGGCGCTCCTCACCCAACAAAAGAAGGACGGAATCTGGGATCCTCCGCCTGGTGGTTATTTATTCCTGACCTGTTGTAACCTTCTGGCTGGCTCCCTTCTGTCCATACACCTAGGGGTTTTGCACATAGCAGCTAAAATTCATTTTCATGCCCACTGGCTGAATGTAGCTCTCCACCACTCAGCGCTCTCCCGCGGTTTCCTTTCATCGTAAAGAACAAACACAGGGCCAACTTCTGACCCTAGCAATGAATAGCGACTCCAAGGCCGCCCTCCCAGCGACAGCTTGCTCTCCTCCTCCCAGTGTTTCCTCCAGGTCTGTTACAAAACTGTATTCATCAGCATTTTAATAGCTTCCCCCACCCCAGACCCCAACCTACCAGTGGCACCATGTCAATGACCTCTAGTAACAGCTGGATCAGTGCCATTTTTATCACGCGTTCACCACTGACTTCTTCTATTCCAAACATAGCCTTGGGGGGTCCTCCTTGACCAACCTGCCTTAGTCAGGCTGACTTCCATTCTTTTGCGGGGCTTCTGTACCACACCTGTCTCCATGAATCTGTCGCCTCTCAAAACACTCGTTTCAAACTCTCCAATTTAACTTTCCAGAACTCTGCCTTCCCCGACAACTCTTGTGATTATTGTCTACATATGTACACTCGTATATTGTTTTGTTGCTACTTCTTTCTCCTGGTTACTAGACTGTCAGCTTCTTGAGGCCAGGGACATGTCTGCCCTCTCCTGTTTTTCTTACCTTAACAAATGAGACTGTTGACCATAGGGTTAAAATAGCAAAAATCGAAAACTTAATTCTAATCTAGAATCCCCTGAAAGTATGTGTTAAATTTCTGCGTTTAGCTTATGTGTATTTTTTTTTGAGGAGAGTAATTACAGCTTCCATCAAACTCTCAAAGTGATCTGTGACTTTCTCAAAGTTATGAATTGCTTGAGGCCTGCCCATGAATGAACTCCAGCTCTGATGTGACACCCCTCCCACCCATACCACTCCATCTCTTCCCAGCCATTAAGTCCTCTCTGCACTGACTAAAGGAGGCCTCCAGCTGAACCTTCTTCCAATCCATTCTTTTAAAACTTGCGGATCCACCCAAACATTAGTAGTCCCTCTCAGTCATCTGCACATGGGAATCACCAGTGGGAACTTTAAAACAGCACAAAGGCCTGGTTCCACTTCTAATCCTCCGAGTCAGAACCTGGAGTCAGGGGTAAGGGGACAGGTGGGACCAGTAAGTGGGTATTTTTACAAAGATCCACAGGTGAGTCTGACATTCCCATGACGAAGACACTGCTTTTCTTGGGAACAGGATCTCCAATCAGTATAATGCCCTTACTTTTCCTTTTTGTTTATGGGAGGACTGAGAATTTCTTGCACTATGTTTGATTTATTTGAACGTTTTCATTTTCACTTGGAAGCAGGCTCACTTTTGCTTAAGAAACCAACCTGAATTTGTGAGGACGGCAAGCTCAGTGCCATGTGTCAGCAGCACTAAATCACTGCCACCTTCATCTCCAAAATATCTATCCAAATAAAACCAAAGAGTGAAATAAATTACATTCCTGACAGTGATATTGACAGCTGAAATATTATCTTACAGTGCTGGCCATGAAGGAGACTTCATTGCTATATGCAGATTCTGTTAATGTCATGAGTCATGAGAGTTCTAGTGTAGTTTCAAGAGAGCTGAAGACAAACAAAACATAAATTTAACTGTGCTTTTATGTTTCTTTTATTGGTCTTGGTAATCCCACCCATTAGCATTTGTCTACCATGCACTCAATCTGAACTTAGATTTTTTAAAACCATGTATGAGTGTAAACTTGAAATAGTATCCCAGTGCTAGTTGTCTTTTAAATATATATATATAAAGATTCACCCTGTATTCTTCAATGATCTGTTGACAGTGTTCCAAAAATACTTCAGGCTTTGAGGAAAGGGCCAACTACTGAACAAACAGGGTTTAAGGCCTGGAGATAGATGCTAGCCACAAATTTTGTGGGGTGGGATGGAAATCAACACACAGGGACATAGTCATTCCACAGGACCCCAATGAGGTACCATGATTTTGACACCGTGTTGCTCTACCAGCTGGGCTGATCTAACTCTGGTGAACAGCATAAGCACAAGCATCCATTCCATCTGAGGAGAGGTGATAGTTTTTCTGATACAAGTGAACTTGTTATCTAACTGAAACAACTACAGACCATTTCGAATTACAAAGAACGTTTATATTCTTGCTCATTTCCTTTCTCTTGGGCAGCCAATTTGTTATTGTTTATGATTCGAATCACTTTCCCTCTGTCATGAGCTGGACATGGCTATCAAAGTAGCAGCCTCACACACGTTTGTGTCTTTCCACAATGTCAGACTTTATTAGAATAAAGCCATGGAGCTAGTCCTACTGACTCGGTTTACCTTGGGCATTAACCAAGGCTCCAGCCAGAGGATAGCCTCCAATAGTTGAGGTAGAGCGGTTTCACATGAAAGAGTCACACAGGTTTGAAAGCAATAGGGTTAGGCAAGGAGAACACAATCTTATGAAGGAAGGATGAGAGAGTCTGGTGTTCGGTGAGAATCCATGTAGCACTGGGGTGCATAGTGTCAGGCATCAGATGGGGCTTGTGAGACAGGAGGTGAAGCTTCAAGTGCTCTGTCTGGGACAAGTGCAGGTGTGGCTGTCAGCTCGTCAGTTGAGACCTGAGCGATAAGCTGTCAGACAGCTCTGATTTTATGCTCAAGACGGGGTGCAGTGCACCTATCTGCAGTCTGATAAAGCCGTCTAGATGGTCACTCTCCACCCTGTATCTCCAGTTACCTGTAGGGCCTTCACTGGTTACACGTTTCATGTGATGCTCTGGCCAGACTGTCAATTTGTGACTAACATAACTATCAGAATTATTACAGTCCATTTTGTGTTCATAATTAATGCTCTATACACCTTATTCAGTTGGAAAAACAGACTTGAGAAGCACAACTCATAAATAACACTCCCAGGATTCCGGGAGTCCCTGAAGCTGGTCAAATTGCAATGAATCTCATTATAATAAAAATCTCTGTATAACAAAGATAGTGCCAACCCTTCTCCAGCCTCTGATAATTCAAGTCTTCTCTGATAAACAACAAAACCATACAAAGTTCACTGAAATGGCACTCAATCTTTACCAACACTGACCTATTAAAGAAAACCTTATTAGGGGTACTTGGAGAGAGAACGAGAATACATTTGGTAACAGGATGTTAAGTGGGAGCTATTATTTTGCTTCCATTTTATCAGCAGGTCCACATGATAGTTGTCCGCTACTCTTGCATCACAAGCAAGGTGCAGGACCACCATGTAGGACTTGCAAAGGAGTGTTCCCTTAACCTCTCACTTACCTTAAAGGTATAAAAGGGTGAAAGTAGAAGCTGAGGAGACTGCGGTGGGTTAGAGAATGGTTTCCGGAGAGGAGCGGTAGATGTTTCGACAGGCCCCTCCTCTGTACCCCCCTCCCACCGCCCCTCCACCCCCTCGGGAGGCAGAAGGGCCAAGGGGGCTTTTCTCTCACCTTAACTCTGGTGAGAGGGACTTCAGGCAGACCTCTCAGAGAGCTGAGGATGTGTCCCCTGCAGTTTGGGGAACACCATGGACTGGTGTCTATGTCATGCCTGAGAAATCTAAAGGGCCAGAGTTGGCAAAAGTGGCCTGAATGCAGGGTAGAAACTGTGGCGGGGAAGTAATTTACTCCCACAGAAGACAAATGTACGAGAGTGAGACAGTGTGGGCCTGACTTTGATCCTACCCAAGAGGACTGCTTGGAAATGCAAAGAGACCTCAGCAGAAAGAAGCCAGAGGTTTGCCTTCAGATGCCCAAGGCCCTGGGGGGGAGACTCTAAGGCAACCAGTCAGAAGCAAAATGAATTTGCCTGTGCCAAGGAAACGGGTGGCGAGAGATTCCCCAGCAGGGTGGTGGTGGTGAAGGTGGTTCTGACAAACCCATTAAAGCGCCCACGAGAGAAAGTGTCAACTGGAAACATCTGCTAGGGCCAGAGGAAGCCACGTCAGCTAGAACCCCCCAGGGCCTTTCTGTCTCCTTAGCTGTCTCTCTTCCCCACTTTAGTCCTGGAGGAGTAGGGCAGCCTAAGTGAGTGTGGAAGCAGGGAAGGAGTGCCGGGCCAGGAGATATACAGAGAAAGCTTGCCATGACTTCCCTTTGTCTCTGAAGTACAGAGTGTTTTATTATTATGCTGTGCCAGACATTGTGCTGATATGATGGTATTAATTACTGATACAAGACTGTGTTTTTTATTAAAAGTAACCAGAGACCTTTTATTATTTGAGAGTAACCCCAAAAGTCATCGGGCCTGTACATTAATTCATCCAGGAAAACAATTAGCCCCACAGAGCAGGTTTGAACAGGCATGATAGAAGAGAATAAAGCTGTTTTCTGATTATACCATGAATCCTACTTGGGTCAATATATCAGCTATACATTTAAATATAATGCATTCCATATTATACCTTAAAACCTCTGAGGGTGTCTCATTCTGGCATCTTGCCTGATATTTCAAGAAACCTCCTTCATGTGTATGTAAATTATAACTCAAGCTTTCCAGTAAGAAAGTTGGAAGTAAGGATACTAGATAAAAAGATCCAAATGGATCTAAACATTGGTTTAACCTTCTGTTTAATAGCTGGTTGCTGTGGTTCCTCATCTCTAAGGGGCTGAGATTAGATAAAAGGTCTCTTTCAATCAGAAAAAAAAATCTGTTTTAAAAAGGCTACAGCCACATATAGCATGTTCTAGATCAATCCTTCAGTTTGCTGCATCGGGCCAGCAGCCCTAAGACCAGCATATCTGGTGCTACTGTACTGCAGTGCTTTGGAATGATGAGGGAGAAATATTTCCCAAAATGAGGACTGAGAAGTACAGGGGTACCTCCCTTTGGAGGCCAACTGGTGGCTGAGGTTGATGTGATCACCTTGGTGACTGTTTCTATGTTATGCACTTGGCACTTGTGATCTGGGAATCCCCAAGCACTTTCCTGTATTCTCTCAAGTACTAGGTGTGATCATCTCATTCTCCCCCTCCAGCGGAAGAGCAGAGTTGCAAAGAGGTCTGTGACTGGTGCTCAGAGGGAGAACCTCAAATACACGCCAGATTCCATGTTCTGAGATTCAGTGGAACCCCATTTTCCCTATTTGAACTACAAGACTGTTGTTTGCTGCAAGAGAGTAAGCCAAAAGAGTGTGAACAGTCATGATTTCAATCAATATCCTCTTCTTTGGACC